ACAGCTTTTATCTTCCTGCACGGTGAGAAGTCACTTACATGATTTGCTCTTTCTCTGGAGAGCATGACAGCACAGCCTATTCTCAATCACACATTTATTCCCATTGCCTAAGGTAACTCATAGCACCCAGTGGACACGCGATCACAAGTTGTTGAATGTATAAATGAATGAATGAAGCTAATTAAACTAATTTGTGTTACACTTCCAGTCTCATTAGACACAAAGAAAATTTGATTATGAAAGTCTTTGAATTGTTATTTCATTAACAGTATCTGCCTGCTGTTTTTATTATTCTCATTCTGTGTACTCTGTGGTTCTCTCTCTCTTATCTCTTTCTGTGTGAAATTCCAAAATTTCTCTATTACCCACCTTCTTTCTTTCTGGCAGCTACTTCCTGACTTAACCCCACACGTCTACCTCCACTACTACATTTCCATGTTAATGCTCTTTCCTCTCATGCTAATCTCCTCTTTCCATTAGCTGATTATCAGTGCAAATAGTTAACAATTGGAATGATACAGTGGGTGAATGTGAAACAGATGAATGACATTCAGAACCAGTGGTGAATGCCATGTGAGGGTCACTGTGACCCTGGTGCAGCCCTCGCCCTGGCCGGGAGCCGAGGGCCAACAGGCTCCCGGTCCCCTCTGCCTGCCAGGCTCTCCCCAGTTCTGGCCTGGCTTGCTCCTGCTCACTCTGCAGGTGTCTGCCTAATGTCAGCGCTGAGAGAGCCCCATGGCCGCTCCCTCCGCTGTCTACATGCACGGTGACCGGCTCTCTCACTCCTCGGACTCTCCCTGTACAGCTCTCGCCGGGACGGCAGGCGCATCCTTACTCAGTGCGTGTCTCCCTGCTCTGGCCACGAGGCCCTCGGGACAAAGGCTGTTTCTGTTTTGCTCACCACTGTGCTCCGGGGCAGGCTCAGACCTCAGCACATTGCACTCCTCATAAGTATTTGTTAAATCAATGCAGTTGTTATACAGAAAATCAAATGCCACATGGCCGCCAATGCGTCCCCCATGGGGCTGATGCTCCGAGGATTTTGAAGAGAAGTTTGTGGGGAGAGAAAGAGCTTTAATGAGAAGTAGCAGCTTGCAAAGATGGTGTAAAACAAAGAAAAAGAAAGGATTAGGGGCAACGCATTTCTCTTGAGTGATGACAACTGGCGGAAATTCTGGTTCAACTGATGAATGTTATTTCCTATGAACAGATGGACATAGAGGGAATGACAGGCCGTGCTACCATCTGAAACAAAGAGGTACCTTTCTTCGCAGAAAGCACATCGCATACAGCCCATCATGGTTTCCTCTCAATGTTCCCTCAGTGTCTTACTAAGTGAGAAGCTCTGTTAAGGAGAAGGAGAAACACCTGAGATGAAAGAGCCCAGGAACGCTGACTCTTATAGAGACACGTGAACGATCAGGTGCCCCGTGGCCTTGTGGTCTGGGCTGAGCCTAATTATGTGCACCTTGTTCACACAGAGCTCCCTAGGTTTTCTCTCAATCGCTTTTTCAGCCAGCGTGACCATTACAAAGCATTCGACACCAAAACAACATCAGTCTCAAAGGTTCATTAGGTAATCTAAAAAGGTGCTTTCCCCCCTTAAATCTTTTAGCCTCCGTCACTCATTAACAAGTCCTTCTGCCTTGCCAATATACTCTATTTCTCCACTCCAGTTTTTGATCATGTTTCTCTTCTTTCTAGAATTTGGAAGTAGTAGCCATCTTTCACATTCAACTCCCAGCACTTATACTCAGCGCTGATAGGAATTTGAGAAATCTCATTCAATTCACTCATTTTAGAGATAATATTTTTTTTTCCTGGAAGATTTATTTAGCTAAATTCAGATGAGCTTTCTCTGCCCTCAAAATCAAATTCAGACATTCAAAATAGCCCTGGCCGCTGTGGCTCAGTTGGTTGGCTGTTGTCCGGTGCACTGAAAGGTGGCCAGTTCGATTCCTGGTCAGGGCACATACCCAGGTTGCAGGTTCAATCCCCAGTTGGGGTGCGTAGTGGAGGCAACCAATCAATGTTTCTCTCACATGGATGTTTCTCTCTGTTTCTCTCTCTTTCTGTTTCTCTTTATCTCTTTCCCTTCCTCTCTCTCTAAACACCTGTGACAGTGGGATGAGAATGCCTGCCTGGCTCTCAGAAATGCTTTGGAAATCAATAGAGATCGTTTTGGGGTTAGTTCTTGGTAAACAGAAGGCAATGGGCTTGGAGGCGACTCGGGTTTCTGAGCTCACGGCGGTTTCTCGCTGCGTGTTGGGCGGGTGGGACCGTCACACCAGGAGCGCCCGGGAGGCTTACGGTCAGAACAAGTCTGCCCGGCCCCTTTATCCTCCACGGACTCGAGTTCCGGGCTGAGATTACCCTGTTGTTGTGGTTTAAGATGTTTTTGAGGTGACCTTTGGAGAAAGTACTGCATACACCAGGAGAACTCCAAAACCAACAGCCCCTGGCACACAGCGTTGTTTACCTAAGCGCCCAGCCAGGTGCACGGGCCGGGACGCCTGGGCAGGAGCAGGTGGGAGGGCTCCCAGTTCTGGCCAAGGGCAGTTACAGTCCCACACAGTTTCCAGAGCCACTGCGAGCTAATTCATGAGCAAAGGTCGCCAGAATGTCCAAGGCCAAACCCATCTCCCTCTTATACAGTGACTGAGACCCAGAGGATGTAATTCATTTCTGACCCATGGATTTCTGTTACAGCTTTTATCTTCCTGCACGGTGAGAAGTCACTTACATGATTTGCTCTTTCTCTGGAGAGCATGACAGCACAGCCTATTCTCAATCACACATTTATTCCCATTGCCTAAGGTAACTCATAGCACCCAGTGGACACGCGATCACAAGTTGTTGAATGTATAAATGAATGAATGAAGCTAATTAAACTAATTTGTGTTACACTTCCAGTCTCATTAGACACAAAGAAAATTTGATTATGAAAGTCTTTGAATTGTTATTTCATTAACAGTATCTGCCTGCTGTTTTTATTATTCTCATTCTGTGTACTCTGTGGTTCTCTCTCTCTTATCTCTTTCTGTGTGAAATTCCAAAATTTCTCTATTCCCCACCTCCTTTCTTTCTGGCAGCTACTTCCTGACTTAACCCCACACGTCTACCTCCACTACTACATTTCCATGTTAATGCTCTTTCCTCTCATGCTAATCTCCTCTTTCCATTAGCTGATTATCAGTGCAAATAGTTAACAATTGGAATGATACAGTGGGTGAATGTGAAACAGATGAATGACATTCAGAACCAGTGGTGAATGCCATGTGAGGGTCACTGTGACCCTGGTGCAGCCCTCGCCCTGGCCGGGAGCCGAGGGCCAACAGGCTCCCGGTCCCCTCTGCCTGCCAGGCTCTCCCCAGTTCTGGCCTGGCTTGCTCCTGCTCACTCTGCAGGTGTCTGCCTAATGTCAGCGCTGAGAGAGCCCCATGGCCGCTCCCTCCGCTGTCTACATGCACGGTGACCGGCTCTCTCACTCCTCGGACTCTCCCTGTACAGCTCTCGCCGGGACGGCAGGCGCATCCTTACTCAGTGCGTGTCTCCCTGCTCTGGCCACGAGGCCCTCGGGACAAAGGCTGTTTCTGTTTTGCTCACCACTGTGCTCCGGGGCAGGCTCAGACCTCAGCACATTGCACTCCTCATAAGTATTTGTTAAATCAATGCAGTTGTTATACAGAAAATCAAATGCCACATGGCCGCCAATGCGTCCCCCATGGGGCTGATGCTCCGAGGATTTTGAAGAGAAGTTTGTGGGGAGAGAAAGAGCTTTAATGAGAAGTAGCAGCTTGCAAAGATGGTGTAAAACAAAGAAAAAGAAAGGATTAGGGGCAACGCATTTCTCTTGAGTGATGACAACTGGCGGAAATTCTGGTTCAACTGATGAATGTTATTTCCTATGAACAGATGGACATAGAGGGAATGACAGGCCGTGCTACCATCTGAAACAAAGAGGTACCTTTCTTCGCAGAAAGCACATCGCATACAGCCCATCATGGTTTCCTCTCAATGTTCCCTCAGTGTCTTACTAAGTGAGAAGCTCTGTTAAGGAGAAGGAGAAACACCTGAGATGAAAGAGCCCAGGAACGCTGACTCTTATAGAGACACGTGAACGATCAGGTGCCCCGTGGCCTTGTGGTCTGGGCTGAGCCTAATTATGTGCACCTTGTTCACACAGAGCTCCCTAGGTTTTCTCTCAATCGCTTTTTCAGCCAGCGTGACCATTACAAAGCATTCGACACCAAAACAACATCAGTCTCAAAGGTTCATTAGGTAATCTAAAAAGGTGCTTTCCCCCCTTAAATCTTTTAGCCTCCGTCACTCATTAACAAGTCCTTCTGCCTTGCCAATATACTCTATTTCTCCACTCCAGTTTTTGATCATGTTTCTCTTCTTTCTAGAATTTGGAAGTAGTAGCCATCTTTCACATTCAACTCCCAGCACTTATACTCAGCGCTGATAGGAATTTGAGAAATCTCATTCAATTCACTCATTTTAGAGATAATATTTTTTTTTTCCTGGAAGATTTATTTAGCTAAATTCAGATGAGCTTTCTCTGCCCTCAAAATCAAATTCAGACATTCAAAATAGCCCTGGCCGCTGTGGCTCAGTTGGTTGGCTGTTGTCCGGTGCACTGAAAGGTGGCCAGTTCGATTCCTGGTCAGGGCACATACCCAGGTTGCAGGTTCAATCCCCAGTTGGGGTGCGTAGTGGAGGCAACCAATCAATGTTTCTCTCACATGGATGTTTCTCTCTGTTTCTCTCTCTTTCTGTTTCTCTTTATCTCTTTCCCTTCCTCTCTCTCTAAAATCAATAAACATATCCTCAGGTGAAGATTAAAAATTATTAAAAAGTAATGTTTGTGTTATGTATACTTCACCACCATAAAAGAAGAAAAGAAGCAAAGCAAAACAAAATGTCAGGAGAACGCCAGATGCAAAATACACAGTTAACAAATGGTGGATAGTTACGGCCCCTTCTGCCCACCTCACCTGTTCTAAGTAATGCAGAGACAGGTTGATGTACTTGGCCTCTGTCAGGAGCTGGCCCCCTACTCCAGTCTTTGCGACTCGCTCGGAGCCAGCCAGGTCCACCAGGTGAAGTTTGGCGTGTCGGACAGTTGCAGATCCCGGTTCTTTGCTTGACAAATGAATAGTGAAAATGCAGTGGGAACGAGTAGAAGCTTGGTTCATAGGAGTCTACAAAACAAAAACAATGTGAACAATGAGAAATGTTGAAGAGTATCAACATATATAAATTTCTATTTCCGATAAGACATTTCCCATGAACGCCAGCGCTGTCAAATGGAATAACAACAATGAAACACTTGTAGCTGAGACCCTTACATGAATTATTTTAACTGTTTTACATATTGAATGCCTGGTAGCAGAATTAGATGGGTTAATTCAGGAAAGGAGAAAACAGAATGCGGTAAAGCTTGGGTCCTCTTACTAATATGACAATTTTATTTCATTACATGACAACAATTCACACCTTAACCTTGGCTAGCCACATTGAAATGCTCAATCTGGCGATCATGGCGAGAATGGATGCGTGGAGAGAATTCATTACACAGTTGTAAACACAACCCGTAGACAAGGATGCCCAGCATCACTGCTACCACCTAACACAGAACCGGAGGTCCCAGCCAATGGAATAAACAAGAAAAAAAATATACCAGGCATAGGGATAGGAAAGTACAAGATCAAGTGTCATTATATGCAGGAAATACGGTGGCCTACATAGAACATGCAAGATCATCTACAAACAAACTGTTAAGACTTACAATGTTTCTCTTTCTGTTTCTCTTTCTGCAAGATCAAAATGCAAAGTCTATGAAGTTTTAATGACCCAGCAACAATCAGGAAGTATCATAATGGTGCAAAGACGATGAGATAATAAGGGATTAATCCTACAAAATGTGTAATTTGTAGGGAAAAAGACAGAATTATATTAAAGGCACACAAAGAAAACCCGAATTAATGGTGCGCTAGATATTAAAATACTGTTTCATGGGTGAGAAATCAAAATTAATCTATATGTTAATGTATCTAGATTAACCTACACATTCAATGTGGTTGAAATAAAAATGCCACAGGTTTTGTTTCTGGAACAGAACAAACAAATTGATTCTAAAAATCAGATGAAAGAACAAATATTGAAAAATAACAAAAACAATTATATGAAAGAAAAACCAGGAAAGGGGACTTGTCCTGCTATATATCAAGGGGCATCATGATGCCACCATAGTTAAAACAGAGGGTCCTGGCACAGGACCCGGTGACAGGGCCAGGGGACATGCTGTGCTCACTCAGGAGCTCTGTAGGACAGAGGTGTGGCCACCCCAGAGTGAGGAAGGATGGCCAGTCAACAATGGTGCTGGATAAATGGCCATCCATCTGGAAAACCATAAATTTAGATAGCCTCACACTATGCACATGAGTAAATTCCAGATTGTATTAGACTTAAGTATAAAATACTACAACTTTAACATTAATATAAGAAAATATGGTAGCATATTGCAATTAACTCAAGGTAGTAATGAATATTTTAGGATAAGACATAAAATACAAAAACAAATTGATTTAAAATATTTGACCTGATAATCCAAAATTAAAGGACTTCTGTGTGATAAAATCTACCACAAAGTTTAAAGATTGAGAGAAGATATTTGCAAGACATATAGCTGACAAAAGATTAATATTTGAAATAAAGAGCTCCCACAAATCAATAAGAAAAAGATGAACAACTCAGAAAAAATGAGCAAAGATTATGAACAGACAACCCATAAAGAGTATACCTGAAAATGGTTAATAAGTATTTATAAATTTTTTAAACTCGTAAATAGGTAGAGCAAAATAATTAGAGCTATAACAATAAACTATTTCATTCATATTCATTGTACTGGCAAAAAAATGTTAAGTAAAGTTTAACAAAAGTGTTTGTAAGAATATAAAGAAATGGGAACTTTTATATGCTGCTGGTGGGAATGTAAATTAAGAATCTTTTTTGAGAGCAAATTGATTATATGTGCTAAAGTTGCAAATGCCTATAATCCACAACCCAGCAATAGGCTACCAGGTATATTTCCTAGAGAGAAATTGGGAAAGGCACACAAGGAGAGGGAGAAGGGGAAAAGGGAGGGTGGAGAGAGAAAGAGAGGGAAGGAAGAAGAAAAAGAGAGAGAGAGAGAGAGGCAGACTGAAACACTGTTTGAGCAAGAAATTGGTGTTAGATGTACAACCTAAATGAACATCTCTGGTGAAAAAATGAATAAACTGGGATAATCCAAACTATAGAGATGTTAAAATAAAGTGACTTTTGGGTAGAGTGACCTCAGTTGGTTTCTAAAATAGAAGGCTGAGGAAACAGCAAGCTAAAAATGATGTACACACTATGTTAGAACTTAATTACTAAAAATGCAGTGTGCGATGTAGAAATATTCATCCATGGTGCTATAACTTAGGTCACTAAAAATAAAAAAAATATGGACTGCAAGGATACGGCAAGTCAATGGTAGTAGTTGCCTTTGTGAGGGATGGAAGCAACAAGCTGACAAGGGGACTTCAATTTCATCCCACTGCTTGTATTTAAAAATCATTGGAAGCAACTTGTGATATCCAAAAACATGTAAAAAATAAAAATATTCCAAATGAGTGTTCATATGAGTTTTCAGAGCCCCACTTTTGCAGAATGGAATTTAAACAAAGACTCCATATGGATGCACATGTGTGCAGAAGGTTAACATGCTTGGATGCTATTCCAACCAGAAATTGCCTGTAAATATAAATTCTTGATATACACTATCATTGACTTACGCCAATGTGCAAAATACCCAGATGTCAAAATACTGGCCTAGTTTTGGTGATGATGATGTAGCTAGTGAGGTAAATAGGCTGAAAATTTGACCCATTTCTTGTCGCCACAATAACTATACCCGGCCTAGCCAGTGTGTGATTTTGCTAAAGTGGATCAGCAAATAACTGTGCGTGTAAAACCGCAGACTCAAATTTAGAACCTAAGTTGAGGTGTTCTGGAAGTGACTGTCAGTTATTTGCAGAACTTAAACATGGGTTTCATTCCACTGTTACATCCACACAACAATAAATCCCACAGTACTGTAATGAACGTCAAGTTGACAATCGATATAAAAGAAAACCATAGCGACTGCCCCAACAGCTGTCTTCTCAACTGAGATACTGAAGTCACAGTAAAATGTAGGCCCTTAGTGAGTAGGGGAAGAGTGTACCCATTTCAAAGGAGTGTGAGATTGATATCAATTACATCGCATTTCTGGAGTCTGTAATTAAAATGCCGTAATATGCGGTAGGAGTCCATGCCTACAATTTTGTAACGTCTCATAAATATTTTCTGCATGAAGTAGTAGTTGGTGTCCTCTTAGCTAAAATTTTCTTAAACCTCAGAAAACATTCTTTCAGTGCAGCCGTTTAAGTGTGATTGAGTGTGCGGGTGTCTGCTCTGTGTTTATTTAAGGACGTCTTTACGTCTCATAGGCGTTTGTCCTCTTCAGGATAAAATGGTATTAAAACCTTTCTGAAACTGCCGAAGAACAGATGGCACCGTTTAGGCAGATTCATTCAAATTTAAGCGCACATTTTCAACAAATGCGCTCTTGGCACTGGAGACTGTGCCTTTGGAAAAGTCCTAGTGATGATTAATCATCCCCGTGCGGAGAGCTCTCACAGTTCATATCAGTCCGTGCACACAGCTCTGGGTAGGCGGTACAGAGACTAGAAGGAAAATAAGACATGGGCCTTGCCCTCAAGGAATCTGTCATCTAGCTCAGGAGCTAAAGACAAAACGTGTACAATGAGAGTCCACGGTGAGAAGAAGGCAAATGCGCAGTGAAGAAGGCAATCTGCGCTCGGCTGGAGCGTCTGACGCTGCGGGTCACACCTAAGAATGCTGCCCGTCCTCATGCTGGAAGCTCTCCACCCGCTTCCCCCACTTTCTAGAGTCACACACTCCCCGGTCCTCTTCTGCCCCTTTCTCTTTATTGGACCCCTTTCTCTCCAGTCCCTAAAATAGACATGCCCCAGGCTATGGTCATCATATGGTTCCTCCTTGGGGAAATTTCCTTCCACTGTTCTAATTCTCACCAGATAGGCACTGTAGTGTAGTTAAAACTCACACCAAAAATCTTAGAATTTGCCATGAACATTGGGGTGCGGATATCTTTTCGAATCAGTGTTCTTGTTTTCCTCAGACAGATCCCCAGAGGTGGAATTGCCGGATTATAGGGCAGTTCTAGGTAACTGTTTGAGGAATCTCCATACCATTGTCCGTAGTGGCTGTACTGGTTTACAATCCAGCAGAGCGCGGAGCTTCCCTTTTCTCCACTTCCTCACCGACACTTGTTCCTTGTTGTACTGTTGATAGCAGCCATTCTGACATGTGTGTGGTGGTATCTCATCGTGGTTTGGATTTTCATTGTTTACAATAGCCAAGAGATGGAAGCAAGCCAAGTGTTTATTGATAGATGATTGGATAAAGAACACACACACACACACACACACACACACACACACACAGTGGAATACCACTCAGCCATAATAAATGAAATCTTGTCATGTGGGACAACATGGACAAACCTGGAGACTATTATGCTAACTGAGATAAGTCAGCCAGAGAAAGACAAATACTGTATGATTTCACTTCTATGTGGATTCTAAAAAACAGAACGAATTAATAAAGTGAAACAGAAGCACACCCACAGGCACAGGAAACAAACTGATGATTGCCAGAGGGGAGGGGAGATAGCCACAAAAGGGGAAGGGGAGTAAGAAGTACAAACGTTCAGTTATAAAACAAGCCACAGGGATGTAATGTGCGGCCTAGGGAATATGTCAATAATATCACAATAACTCTGCATGGTGACAGATGGTTACTAGACTTAGGGTGATCACTTCATCAGGTATATAAAAGCTGAATCGCTATGCTGTACACCCGAAACTCATATAATATTACATGTCAACTATAATTCAATTTTTTTTTTTTAAAAAGGGGGAAAAACTTAGAATTTGATATTGAATGACCTCATTTTAAGTCTGGTTCCATCACTTACTAGTGTTGAAATCTTATGAAAATTTACACAAAGTAACTTCAGTTTTCATATTTTTGTAACACCATAATAACACTTGCTTTGCTGCAAAAAAATAGCAATTGAGTTACTGATTGT